ACTCCATTAGCATTCTCTGCTTTTATTATTGAAGAGTTGTTTTTCAGTTTTTCCCTGAAATGAATTTTGTACTCGCCAAGACTTGAGCAGAAGAAACATTTTATAGGATTCAGCCCAGTAACAGTAACGCTGTTCTTCCTTCTCCTGTTTGAATATCTGCCTAACTCATTGGATGGCATTTAGGCTTAGTCCTAAGCATGAAGTAACTTTCACTGAACACAAGGGAGTAAGGATATATTCCTAAAATCCAAATAGGGTGTTGTTCACATGTTCGGATTATCAGAATACAGTATTTATTAAGGACACTTATCAAGGTATGGTCCTACTGGGTTGTTGTAGGTTTTTCGGGCTGTATGGCCATGTTCTAGAAGCATTCTCTCCTGACTTTTCACGCAGGCATCCTCAAAGGTTGTGAGGTCTTACTATTAAGAGGCAAGTGGATACCTGTAGGATACCTGTTTGGGCTGCTTAAAAAATATAGTTGTTCCTCCACATTTGCAATTTTGATTATTATGGATTTGATTATTCCAGTATTTGTTTTCTCTAGGTCCTCTATTATGACTCTGTGGTTAACTTCCTGTCGACATACTGAGGGCCTAGAGATTTCTGGAGATAATATCTCTCTAGATCAGTGATTCCCAACCCGCAGGTTCCCTGGTGTTTTGGCCGATGACTTCCAGAAATCCCAGCCAGTTTACCAGCTGTTAGGATTTCTATGAGGTCAAGACATCTGGAGAACCACTGCTCTAGACTCTCCAGTGCAATTCTATGGTTAGCCTCCAGTGGAAGTCAACCATAGACTCGTTCTGGAAGACCTAGAAATTCCTAGACAGTCATTTCCTCAGGTTTTAAAAAAGCAAATTTATTATTTGCAGTCTTTCATTTCCTCAGGGCTCCTGTTCCCCTAACTCCAGCAAATGTGGATGATGACTGTATAGAAAATGGTGAATCATTTCAGACAGTTATTTCTCTATTTTTGCTGTCATGGCAGGAAGAGACACACTGGTGCTCAGGAGCCAAAATAAATTAATCAGCCTTGGGCATTATGCATCTTAATGTGCATGTAGTATTTTAAACTCTGCCTCAGGTAGCAAAATGTCTAGAGCTTCCCTGTGTTATTTTTATATGGGCTGGCTTTCTTATTTCTCTGGGGAAGGCAAAGGATGTGCTTGTGGAACTATCCAGTTCCACTAAAGTGAATGAAAGCTCATTTGGATCTCTATACATCTGGTTCCTACATTGCCATTAGATGAAATTATGTACCAAGGAAAAACTTTACAGAAATATGGAACCAAATGTAGTGGTTTTAGCCTGATATTTTTTCCATTGTTTGGCTGTACACATTAAAATTAACTCAAGGAAAATGGAAAAATTCACCCCAAACCTCTGGCCAACTCAAATAATTAATCTCTGTATGCACAGCAGAAAAAACTCTTACTAACTTGCTCTACAGAGCAAAGTAATAAATGTTGATCCTTTTTAAAAAAGAAAAATGGATTTGCTACAAAACAAAGAGACTAAATAATCATTTATTATTGCAGCTATTATTTTGTCACTATTGTGTGAAATTAAATAATTAATTCAGAACCATGAAGCTAAAACATGAGAAATTGTGCAGCAATTTTTGCATATTACTGAAAATCATAGACCTAGAAGAATGCATGAACTACTGAGTCCAACTCTATCCTGCTCAATGCGAGATCTCCATCTCCAGCAGTAAAATGAAGATTAGCAAGCACAGGTGTCATTAAGTATCTCTGCTTATTCTACTTATTGGGGTTGGATAAATGTTGCCATCTAGAGCAGAGCTTTCCAAACATTTCATGTTGGTGTCATTTTAAAAGTAAAGGTTTAGATTTCCCCTTGACATTAAGTCTAGTCATGTCCAACTCTGGGGGGTGGTGCTCATCTCCATTTCTAAGCTGAAGAGCTGGTGTTGTCCATAGACATTTCCAGTGTCATGTGGCTGGCATGACTGCAGAAAGCGACATTACCTTCTTGCTGGAGTGGTACTTATTGATCTACTCACATTTCCATGTTTCCAAACTGCTAGGTTGGCAGAAGGTGGGCCTAACATTGGTAGCTCACCCTGCTCCCTGGATTCGAATCACTGGCCTTTCAGTCAGCAAGTTCAGCAGCTCAGCAGTTTAACCCGCTGCACCATGGTAATTCAGTTTTACTAGAAAATCAGAGGTTAAAACCTTTACTAGAAAACCAGAGGGAAAACCCTTACAAGAGATATGGACACAACATTTCTCATGAAAACCTTTCATTTACACATTTTAAAATATATGATTTGTAGGGTAATAACATACATTTCCAATTTTTTGTCATTGCTCATTTATGTTCATGTGACACATCTACGCAGTGCAGCTGAAACACTAATGTGTCATGACATACAGTTTGGAAAGTTCTGATCTAGAGCATTGTGCACTCCCCTCTTTTGGTCAACTTTTTAAAATTGAGTGTATATTTTCATATTAAATTGAGTTTCTGATTTATTGTGAAGAATCCATAAATGAGACCTGAAACAAATACTAATATAGGGCCTAATCATGCTAGGCTGTGGCGACAAAAGAATAGTTAACAATAGTTTCAGCCAGCTATAGTTCTCACTTTT